AAAGAGCATCACCAGTGCTGTCATCTGCATAGCAATGAATGCATATCATTAATATGCAGAAGAAACAGCGTTGGCGATAGCACGGAGCCTTGTGGAAAACCAGTATCAATAGGCTTTTAATCGGAACTTGCACCGTCTGCAACGACCTTGATGCTCCGATCTGCTAGAAAGCTGGCGATCCAATTGCACAATTTCTCGGGAAGCCCATAGGAATGGAGCTTCGAAAGAAGCGCTTTGTACCAAACCCGATCGAAGGCCTTCGCAATGTCCAAACTAACGGCCAATTCCTCCCCCTTGGACTCTACTGCCTCCGCCCATCTGTGGGTTAGGTAGACCAGAAGATCACCAGCTGACCGACCACGGCGAAAACCGTATTGGCGATCAATCCTGGTGATCCTCAAGGTATCTCATGAGCTGGCAGTTAACAATAAACTCCATTGTTTTGGAGAACAAGGAGGTGATGGCGATAGGCCGGTAGTTGGACGAGTCTGAGCGGTCGCCTTTTTTAGGGATCGGGTGGACGAAAGCCGTCTTCCATGATTGTGGGACTACGCCTAGGGAGTAGGAGTACCGGAAAAGCCGCATTAAAACCGGTGCCAAATCTGGAGCACACGTCCTCAGCACATTTGGGCGGATTCCGTAAGGCCCACTCGACTTGTGGATGTCCAGGGAGAGCAGTGCTTTGCGAACCGAGCGCTGTGTAAACCGCACCTCCGGCATGGAGCACTCACACCGCGCGATGGTCGGCGGAGTACTCCTCCCGTCATCGAGAGTCGAGTTGGACGCAAAGAAAGAACCTAGCAGATCGGCCTTCTCCCTTGTGGTATGGGCCAGTGAGTTGTCCTACCTGTGCAGAGATGGAAGAGATGGCTGACAGAAATTCCCCTGGACAGCCTTAGTGAGAGACCAGAATGCACGTGTTCCAGAAAGAAGGCGAACTAGTTTCTCACCAATTCCGCCCATGTGCTCTGACCTTGCCTTGACAATGACTCTTTTGAAGGACCTGGAGGCGGAATTATACTTCTTTTTTAGAGCGCTGGTGTTTACATCCTGGTACATTGATGCATCAGCCCAAGCTTGGTAGCACTCCTGCATATAGCATGATGCTATTTTACAGGAGCGACCAAACCATGGCTGAGATTTGTCTCCAATGGGCACCTCAGAGGAGGGAATAAAAAGTTCCATACCCTGAAGTACCACATCAGCGACAGAATCCGCAACAACGTTGGGATCGTCCGGCGAGAAGCAAACCCGCCCCCAAGGGTAGGATGCAAAGAAAGACCGCATCCCATCCCAATCGGCTGACCTATAGTGCCAAACACGGCGGCAGCCTGCAGAATGCAACTGCGATTTCAACGTGAGCACCACACACCTTTAACAGTGGTAGACCCACGCAGCAGCTTTGCTGTTGAACGTATGAGCCGGCTCAAACCGGGGTGGTACCACGAGACCTCACAGAATACCGGCGTTAAGTGGAAGCTCTGCTTCCGCGTTTCGTCTGGTGAGTGCAGGTGGCCGGAGGCCCAAATCCCCCTGGGGTAGTTTGACATTTAATTCCGATACCATCAACATGGTATCGGAATTAAATGTCAAACTACCCCAGGAGGGTACCAGAACCCCTGGAGAATCCCTCGCTGAGCATCCACGACCAAGTTACTTCACTCCTGAGCGTGGGTGCTTCGGGCTGCCCCGCGTATTCTGGGGGGGGGGGCAAAATTCCGCTCAAGATTACAACTCCTCCTATAGATTGCCTGGAGGGGTATTTTGCCATAGTTGAATAGTCACACTAAGTAGACAGGTTGTTAATCGGAATTTTTTTATTTAGTATTGTTATCAGGTTATATATATCATAGGTTATATGTTGAATCTGTCAACCTCATTTACTTCTGTCGCTTATACTGACATAGTATATTTTATCTGTTTGTATTAAAAGTTGTTCCCATCTACATTTATTCTACAAAAGTTGCGCAAAGTAGAAACTTTACAAGAAGTAATGCTGTTTGTTTAGCTGGACTCTGTACTTGATATAAAATACATCTTCATAAATATTTTAAGTAAGAAAAATTTAATAATTGCGACGCCCGAGGTTTTAGCTTTCTTGGATTCCCTATTAACAAAAGTCTATCTAGGATTAAAAGATACTGTTATGAGCTTAGGGTTCGTGACAATAAAAACTGCCGATAGAATTACCAAAATTGACACTTAAATTACCGAACATCATTTAAAACTTAAAACGCACTAATAATTAATCATACTTACCACTTTAGTTCACTTTATTTCGCTCTCAAGTCTTCGCTTATATCGCCAATTTAATACTGACTCGGTCGCGCTCCTTACCGACTTTATATTATAGGACCTTTTCCACCGAAAACATCTAGAATGTTAGAGTAGAATGTCGAAAGTTCTAGCAAAGAATCCTCCAGAAAGCACTCGACATTAGATGGCGCTAGTAGGAAAGTTCTAGAAAGATCTTGACGCTCCTTTTTCTGCTACTTGATACTAGATGGCGCTAATAATCATCCGCCATATACCGGACATTAATTATGGCGCGCAACAGTGCCCCCTCCTACAACATGCTCGTCCCGAGTATTATCGGCCCCATAATAACGTGTCAGTCGATCCACATGGACTATCTTACCTCTTGCACCTTTTTTATCCGGTAGGTTACGTCATTGATCCTTGTCACAATCCGGTACGGGTATTTAATTTTGGTACATTTACCTTGAAGCTTAGGAGACTTCCTTTTGCTGCTGACTGGATTGTGCAACCACATTAGTGAACCCTCGTCGAACCCTTTGTTGTTCATTTTACGGTCATACCGGGTTTTCATCTTTTCAAACATTTTCTGACCCGATTGCCTGACGTGGTCAAAAATATCATTCATTTTGTTCCCTAAGTCATTTGCATAATCAGTTATACTGCATGGGGCGTCTGGTGGTATCCCTGTGAATCAGGTCTGCAGTCAGCCGTAATTCTAAGTTTGCGAAGGCTTGTGACACTGATGGGACTTTCGTGAACAGCGCTTCGATATGACAACAAAAACGGTTGAATGTGCTTGTCCCAATCTCGTTGCTGATTGTCTACAATTTTTGCTAGGTACCTCTCCAATGTCTGATTAAATCGTTCTACCATTCCATCAGTTTGCGGATGGTAAGAAGTCGTTCTTGTTTTATGAGTACCCACCCATAACTCGGCAAATTTCCTGGAATATTTGAGACTCAAAATTCCTTCTTTGATCGCTGTGAATCTCTAAAGGTACTTCAAAACGACAGAAGACTTCATGAACAAGTTTATCTGCGACTGTTGAAGCTTCTTGATTTGAAATGGCGAAGACTTTTGGCCACTTAGTGAAGTAATCCATCACATAACTTGAAATACTTGTTACCACTTTCACTTTACGGAAACGGCCCCGTCACGTCAATGGCTATTCTCTCCCATAGTGAACCAGCATGGTATAACTTCAGTGCACCTCTACTACGAGTCTGCGGTTCCTTTACAGCCGCACAACTTGTACATTTGCGACACCAGTCCTCGCATCGTTTCGACAGTGGACCCAGTAAAACCGTTCTCGGATCTTCAGTAGAGTTCGTTTAACTCCCAGATGGCCTCCTGAACAATCATTATAGTACAGCTGTAGAACATCCAGTACTTTAGCTTTAGGGACAACCATTTGCAAATGACAGCTGTCTCCCCGACCATTTTCCCATTTACGGCACAGAACTCCATCCTGAAGCAGCAAGCTGTCCCATTGGGCCCAATAGCTTTTCGGTGGTCGAACTCATCGCTGAGACGTCGCTCCACTTGGGCTTGGGAGCACTGGCCTTCATTCATTTCAGAATCGGCTTGATGTTCGGATCTTCATACTGTGCATGTTGTAAGCTGTCCTTTCACTCGTTGCTGGGGTCTGCCTTGAGCATCCTCACAGATACCAATTCCTTAGACACTGCTTGCAATAGACAATGCTTGCAATCTTCAGGATAAGGTCTTCTTGACAATACATCTGCGTTGCCATGAGATTTCTCGCTGCGGTGTTAGATCACGAAGTGGTATTCCTGCAGTAGTTCAATCTACCTCGCAACTTGTCCTTCCGGATTTTTGAACTGCAATAGCCATTTTAGTGCAGCATGGTCAGTTCGTAAGATTATACTGTTTATGGTAAAAAGAGAATGCCCAAATCTGGTCCTAATGAAGCGGCGAACGGTTAGCCTATTCCTAATGAAAATAGGTGGCACTTAAAAATTGCCATTTTTTAATTTCGTATATGGAAACGCCGCCATCTTCCGGATAACTAAAAATTATAAAAAAAATGTTGCCACTTGCCCGCCAAGCGTGGCAAACTAAGTCCAAATACCCTTACTACGAGGCAATCTATGTGGGAGGCCTTCAGCAGTGCATTTTTATAGGCTGTGATAATATTTAAATGCCATTTAAGTCATGCTTAGGTTTTTTCCAAAATATTGTACTTTGTGATTTTATTTAAATAAAAATTTAGCAAAGTTTATATTCCATTTTATCAGGATGTTTTTTTTTTTCTTTAGAATACAAAACTTTCAAAACTATAATTGTTATTTGCATTATATAAATCATAGAATTTATGGTCCTTGTAAATTCACTTACATTTTAAAACTCCAAGAAACACCACAAGTGCGATAAACATATTTAATACTCAACAACCAAAATTCATTAACAACAGATTATTTTAGAGAGTTGCGAGCTTTGCAAAAACGGATTGTATGTTAGTTTGACATCAAAAAAGAAAAATAGCAGACTTATTTTTTTATAATAACTTTATTAAAATACTAAAGTTTTTGACAATGTATTTAAATATATACCCATTCGTTGTAAAATGCATATTTATGCCCTTAGACTAAGTTGAACCTTACTGCGAACGTCATTAATTGAATGGCTTACAAGAAACTGTTAATTTCACACTTGTCTATAACGGAAGAAATCATTCCCATGTAAGAGTCCATCGGCAAGCAAGATTTGCTGGAAGAGGCCTAAATGAACTCGTCAGGTTCGCGTGGTGCGTCCAAGTCGCGGTAGTGTATGACTGGGCGGAACTCCGCGCCGTCGCCCCTTCAACAATTAATTATTTATTATTATTTCTGTCACAATACTACACTAATTGTTAATTAAAAAACAAAATTCACTCACAAATTCACAAAATGCTACAAGTAATGTGTATTGTTACGAAATTTAAAACGGTCAGAAATCTCAGCTTCCCGGTAGTAACTTTTCTATTATCGCACAGGTTAAATTTAGGGGTTTACTAAAAAAAAAATCTAATTTTTATCTTGTACTTTATTAAAGTTCTCATACAATTTTATGAGCATAGCAAAAAATTTTCACTTATCGTATAATATTTTTATGGTGTAATTTAAATTCTTATTGTTGTACATAAACCAAATACAACTTTTCATCTATACTAAATTTCCTTATTAGGAATAAAATATTATTTCTTCCTCGAAAAAAGATTGTCTACTTATTTTGCATAAAAAAGATTCAAAGTTACATATCTTGTCATGAATTTCTTACATTATACAGCGGTAAAAATACAATAATAGGTATAGACTGATAGGCAATTTACAAAACCAAGTTTGACAAGAATGCAAATGATGTTGAAAGAAATTTATTAATATATTTAATAATATATGATTTAAAACATACATCTAATACCAAAATGTTGAATATTGGAATAAAAATATGTACTTTCCGCTATACCAATTAAACGTCATTACAATCGTCAACGTCAGCTTAGAATATATCACCACTGTCCGGGAAGTCAAGATCGTTGTAGGCAATAATGGGCCGGGACCGATCCACATTTTCCCTGGAAATTATTCCTTAAAGCTCAAAAATTGTGTTATCGATTTATTCAAATCTTAACATTACATCCATGCATAATAACGAAAAAACGATTACAAAATAGTAATAAAAGTAATAATTTAAGCATATAGATGTAAATATTTAAGCATTCAAAAGAAGTTAAGAGATGCAATAGGACAAAAAATGCTATTTGCACATTTCTCTCCGCTCATGTGATGATCCATGTCCCTAAAAATTAAAATTAGGACTTCAAATCGCCGTTTTCCAACTTTATTAACAAACTAATAAAAAGGCATTTGATCCATATTAGTGGTATATATACGAAATCTTATTGTCTAATTATAACTTATAACTATAAGGATATTTTTTGTGATTTTTAATCATGTCAAATAAATTTTTAATTTTTAATAACCCATACACCTATTTACTCAAACTAAAGTTAACTTTGCTGAATCAACTCTTGTCACTAAAAGGTAAAACTTGTCACAAAAAACTATCTGTTAATCTAAATATGTTAAGCGGGCATTTGTTTATAGTGCACGAACAACCGGCTTCACGTACGGCCAGGATTATTGTTTAAAAAACTTTATTAATATATTAATTAATTACTACGTGCGATTCGAAGTTTGAAATGTGGTAAGGCTGCGGGACTAGACAGAGTTACTGCTGAAATGGTCAAGTACGGTGGGCCTCGCGTCTGGGACAGCTTCCATCTGCTGTGCAATTTGTGCTGGCGGACGGGAGATGTCATTGTGCCTTTATATAAAGGTAAAGGTTCACATTTTGACTGCGGGTGCTATCGGGCAGTCAGCTTGACCAGTTTAGCAAGTAAAGTTTACTCGAAGGTTTTGACACGTAGGATGCAAGAGAAATCGGAAAGATTATTATGGGAGGCACAATGCGGATTTAGACCTGGAAGAGGATGCACGGATCAAATGTTTTCTCTCCGCATGATCACGGAAAAGCTTCTGGCTGTTAACCAGAGGATTTTCTGTGCTTTTGTGGATCTGGAGAAAGCATTTGATAAGGTTATAAGGAAGAAAATGTGGGAACTGTTGCCGGAACATGGTGTGGTGGTCGATTGTTAATAGCTGTGTAGTCACTTTACTATGACTGTAAAGCCTGTGTGCGGATAGGGCATGACCTGTCACCCATGTTTAGCGTCCAAGCGGGCGTAAAACAGGGTTGCGTCATGTCTACCTGGCTGTTCATACTGTATCTCGACAGCTGTTTACAGAAGCTGAAAAATAGCTGTTTGGGTGTGAATTGGTTGACATTAAAGTAAATTGTCTGCTGTATGCTGATGATGCAGTGTTTATTGCACCATCAGAAGCAGAACTGCAGGCATTAGTCACGTGTATGAAAGAGGAATGTGAAATTAAAGGTCTCCGTTTGAATGCTAATAAAACTAAGGTTCTGGTATTCGAAAAGGACGAAGAGAGAACGAAATGTGAAATATGGGTAAATCAGGAATGTCTAGAACACGTAAATGAAATTGTATACTTGGGGATGGAAGATATGATTTAAATGTGGAAAGGCGTGTCGCTGCCGGGAACAAAGTCAATGGTGCCCTGAATGCGTTAGTCAAAAGGCAAGGCGTAGTGAAGAGTGCACGCCTTGCAATACATAATGCAGTGTTGGTACCGACTTTGTTATATGGCAGCGAAACCTGGGTATGCCAGAAGAAGCATAAAAGCAAGTTGAATGCAGTGGAGATGTGATCTCTTCGTAAAATGTGCGGCGTTACCATAGCCGACCGAAAGCGAAACAAAGAGATTCGCAATATGGCAGGATTGAAAGATGACCTTATCACAAAAATTGATAGGGGCGTACTCCGATGGTTTGGGCACGTTGAGCAAATGAGTGAAGACCGAATGGTGAAGAAAATATATAGCGCGAAAGTAAATATTAAAAGGTGTCGAGGTAGACCGAGACTAACTTTCGAAGACCATGTGAGCAAATTATGACGTGCATGTATGAAGAAGATAATGAACCTGAAAGAAGCGAAAGAGGTATGTAAGGATCGTGACACTTGGCGATCTGTTCTCTCTGGCTACCCCGTTAGGGATTGTGCGTGAAGATAAGTAAGTAAGTAAGTAATTACTAATTAATGAAGAATAGCTGGAGGAGTGAAGGAATTATTAATATTCATATAAGGATTTTAGAAAGAAAAACGGAAAGTGCGACTAATTATATTTATGATAGTTCAACCATCCCTGTAATCAAGGGCAAGGTAAGCAGCAAACATTGCTCTTACTAAAAGGTAAATCGCAATGAAGGACAACTTTACTATGCAATGGAACAAATGTTCGCCCTTACATCGGTCTACATCACAATCGAAGCTCCAACTACATAAGTTATTTGTAATTGCAAAAAATATTTTAATATGCTTCGAATTTCGGATTTTTTCCTTTACTTTTGCTGTAAGACCTTGCTTCTTACCAAATGTCATATTTTTAGGCCAGCGGAAGTATCTTATACATTGTGATGTCAAGTTTTTAAATATTAAAATATGTGACATAGGTGGTCGTATCTTTTTGATGCGTTGGACTGTACACTGACATTAGTAATTGACGTTTATTTAAACTTGATACTTCTACTCGTATCTATGAAAAATCGCTTTACAGACGGATATACACTACCACTTCTACACGTTCCTGAGCAAAAATCGCTTTACAAACGGATAGACACTACCACTTCTACACGTTCCTGAGCAAAAAAACGCCTTTTCAGACGAACGGACGGTAACAACAGTTATGCTACAAGGGTTGAATCCTTGGGCTTTTTGCCTTTTGTGGTAGGGAGCCCTAAAAGTAAAAGGTCAGATGGTTCTGTCTTAAAATATTATCGAAAGTTTTCTTTGATCAGCTTATGGTAAATAAAATAATAATGTGTGTCTGAGAAAAACCGCCTTCACAGACGTATATATGTTAGCGGCCAACCTAGATTTCAGGCCAAACTAGTTTGTCCTAGGCCAAACCGGTTTATTCGACGTGTATCAGGACATACAAGTGTAACTAGTTTGGCCTTGGCAAAATTGATTGAATCATTGCATAATCTAATCTAACCTAATATTGACCCAAATTTACTTCTGCAACAGCTTCGGCGTTGCGGGAAGTGCAGCCCCTTTGCCCTTGCGTGGTAAATCGCAGACACCCAGGCTCACCTTCGCAGCTTTGGCTTATTGGTCGCCTTCGGCGACCAGCCTCTGCCGCTGTTGCTCGCACAGGTGCCTGCCATTTGCTACAGCAGGCGAGGGCTGCTCTCCCTCCGCGCTAACGGTTTTACAAAAACACTCCAGGGGTAGGGCAGACAAAACTACGTACAGTCGGGGCGTCATCATTCGGTTTTAGCGCAGATTCGACCGATCTTATCTAAATACAGTGTAAAACGTCAACCATGACAAGCCCCCTAAACTAAAAACTAAATTAAAATTAAGTACTGGACGTGTATGGCCAACCCAAAATTGTAAGATCCCTTACACAATTTAAGAATGAGTAAGAATTTATAACAAACTAAAACAATTAAGACCAATCACTAAAATACACCACACGTTGAGAACATGAAACTTTAACAAAAATTATTTTCATTTACTCTGTTCTTCCTAGGCCAAAATAATTAAGGCCGAACTGAATTGTCTTGGGCTAAGCTAGTATGTCTTACACGCCTTAGATAGATTTGGCCTAGGATAAACTAGTTAGACCTGAAATCGCGATTGGCCGGTAACATACATATATACTAGTACTTCTATACGTTCCTGAAGAAAACCGCCCATTCAGACGAACGGACGGACAGGAGTGCTCCTACAAGGGCTTGAACCCTTATGCTTTTTGCCTTTTGTAGCCTTCAAAATGAGAGGTTAGATGGTTCTTTCATAAAAAAAATAATCGAAAATTTTCTTTGAGCTTATGGCAAAAACAATACCATTAACACAGCGGTTTCAATAATACAATAAGACAGTATTGTATTGTTACATTAATTAATTACGAGTGTTCGTCTACTAGATTCGGCAGTAATTCATAGACAATTCGTTCAAGTTTGTTTATTAAGCAAGCTGTAATTCGTTAATAACTAAATAAAGAATGCACTATTTATAACTTATTAATATAAAAAAATAATAAAATGTCATCGCTGTTATTAATTTTAAAGTGTGATATCATAACTCTATTAAGTATAAAAATAAAATTCTAACTAAGTAGCTTTAATTTTCAAAGATCAAAATAAAAAAGAAGGGATTCCCCCTCAATAAA